AGAGAGAGAGAGAGAGAGAGAGAGAGAGAGAGAGAGAGAGAGAGAGCAACTTGCAATGATATCCATTCTTATCTATGGTTGACTCAAATATGACTCATTACTGCATATGAACAGAGTTAAAAGAAGCAAGTTCCCTCTGGTTTGTGGGTTGCAGAAACAAAATTAAATGCCCCATCTAAGCCTACTACAAAACATCTGCTCTTACTTTTCTCCCTTTCTCGCTGTCTGGAAGGTAACAATGTCGTGGGAAACCACGGGCACTGAAGCTCTTCCCAGGATTTGGATGTTCTGGTCCCTGGAAGCAGAAAGAAAACAAAGATAGCTTGCAAAACATTTCTGATGAAAAGTTAGTACAGGCTTGGTGTGACAATAACAACAGCCACAGAGTTCAAACAAAGGACAAACCAAAAAAAAAAAAAAAGAAAACCACAGTCTAAGTTCTCATACAGCATGTGACCTGAGTTTGCTGAATCGTATGGAATTCCCCTCCTTGGTGACAGTGACTTGGAAAACTCACCCTATGGGATGTTACCAACACTAAGGGAGCTTGGTGCCCTTATTAGGGAAAAGCACAGTAAATTTTCTCATTACAGCATCAATATCACCTATTCTACTGTTCTATGAATGATGAAAAGCCCATAGAAGCTAACTGGCTACAAAATGTTACTTGCTTTGCCAAAACTAACTCAAGCCCAGGTTCCCTGAGGCATTAGCTTTTAAATCAACTACTCAGAATACCAAAGTTCTCTGAGCCACAAGTCAATCAGTGAGAATTTTCTGCACACTTCTTGTGGATTTTCTGCTTTGTCTTCATGGGTTTTCGCTTCCTTACTCAACAATGTAGACTGCAATGTTCATGACAAAAAATCTTGTGACATGTCAGTTATCATCACATAATACTGTAGGACACAAGCTATCCCAGGACACAGAGTGGGAAAGACATCAAAGCAGAACCGAGTCAGAACCCAGATGCTATGGTACAGTGTATTGTTTGTTCCCTCCAAAACTCTTGCTGGAATTTGGCTTCCTTACAGCCTTGTGGCCAGCTGGGACATGTAAGAGGCAACAAGGCTGTCAGAAGGGAAGAATGCTTTCTTCTGAGAGCTCTCATCTTGGTCTCAAGGGACCCGGTTAGTTGTCCTAAAAACATGTTGCTTACAGAGCAAGTCTGCTCTGTGTTCTCCGCCTTCTGAACACATCTGTTTGTCTATTTGCTGCCTTAAGCTGTGGCACCAGGAGATCCTGGCCCAGTGGAACTAGACATGACTGCTGGACTTCTCCTCCTTCAGAATCATAAGCCACATTAACCTCATTTCTTTGTAAATCACTCAGCTCAGAGATTCTATTATAGCAACAGGAAAAAGACACAAGACACTAGGCCTCCCAATTGGTGTCTGTCTTAGTCTCATTTCTTGTTATTATGGTAAGATACCCGAACAGTTTAAGAACAAAGGAGTTTATTTAGCTCATGATTTCAGGTTATAGTCTATCCTTGTGGGGAAATCAAAGTAGCAGGAATCTGAATCAGATAGTCACACACCTACAGTCAAGAGCACAGAGCTATGATTTAATGCATGCATGACAGACTAGCTTTCTCCACTCTTACACACTACGATCCTCGTTCCTAGGGAATGATGCCACTCACAGTGGGCAGGTCCTCCCACCCCAGTTAATATAATCAAGAAAATTCCCCAGTAATCCCATGAATCCATCACTGGGATAATCTTCCTGTGTAATCCTAAATTATGTCACATTGACAGAGCTATCACAGGCTCCAAGAAGTTCATGGGTCCTTTTGAGCGGTTTACGAAGACTGACATGGCAACTTCCCACCCATACAAATGCTTGTCTATAATTTTGAACATACCTGACCTCTTGAGAGTATAACCTTGTTTAAAGATCCTACTTTGTAAGTGCAAGTCATACAATATTGAAAATTTTATGCAGTTGGTGGTACAAGCTCTCCCACAGATCAATAAATGCATCCTGGCTGTGTAATGGGTGAGAGAATGAATGATGAATGAATGAATGAATGAATGAATGAATGAATGAAATTGAACTCATTGGCTCTAAAAAAAAAAAGAAAGAGGGATTGTTGGGGAAAGTGTTTTGGAAGAAGGAAGGGAGAAGAGAGGGGGCAAAAACAGTTGAAAATGTTCAAACTCAGTATACACATGTATCAAATTGCCAAAGAGAAAAACTATTCAAACTTTGAAGTATAATTTTTATCTATCATTTGAGAATTCTAGGATACATAGTATATTTTGATCATAGAAAAATGTTAAAGATGTACAGAGACATCACTGTGAACTGAAAGAAACTAACGTTCTCTGGGATGAAAAGACTCTGCCAGTTGTAACTTAACGGTCAGACTAAATCTCTACAAACGTACATCCTGCTCAGCACTGTACTTCTCTAGGCCTGGCATCCTCACTGAGGGACCAAGCCTGACTGTGCCTCCAGCTGCTTCGCTGATGCCCTGGGCTGCTGGCTGTGTTTCCAACTCAGCAGGTCTGGCATCAGCCCAGCAAGGCTGCTCATTCTGGGGCTGCTGCCAGGTGGAGCAGTCACGACTCTGTCTCAGTTTGGCCCAGTGCTTCTCCCGAAGGGACTCACTTTCTGCAGTGGAAGCAGTGTTTGGCGATCTCAGCTTCGCACCAAAGTCCAGGCCTGCGAGGTCCCTGGGGATTCACAGGGCAAATCACAGAACAACTTGCTACCGACTCACAGTGGTGAGTCTGCAGAGCATCTGACCATTTAGAGATGTTTCCTTTTCACAAGCCAGGGTGGGACTAGAGGTGCTAGGGCTTTGCATAGGCAGCAGTGACCCCTTCTGTACATTTATAAAGAAGGATCTCTCTGTCCCTTACCTCCAGAGGCTTAAAAAAATGTGACTTTCTCAACAGATGCCCTACCTTGATATTTGGTTCTAATTTGATGGGAGAGAGAGAGAGAGAGAGAGAGAGAGAGAGAGAGAGAGAGAGAGAGAACATGTGTGGAAGGTCAGAAGACGATATGCATGAGTCAGCTCTTTCCTTCCACTACTTGGGTTTCAGGGATTGAACTCAGTTCAATCAGAATTGGCTTTCAGTTGTCAGGACCCTTACCAGTACACTCCCACATCTTGCCAGCCCACTCCCACATTTTCATTCTTCCATATCATCCCAGCCAGCTGCCCCAGAGTTATTCTATAAGTCTGTCCAGGGCAACAGCCGACCACATCTTACTTTCTTACCCTGGTGCCTCCCTTAGGAGCCTGAAATGCTACTGCGGACTTATTTCCACTCATCTCCCGTTCTTAAGTCACACTGGCCTCTTAAAGTATATTTACATGTTACATGTTTTGGAATCCTAATCAGACAAGAATCTCCAGGAGCTCCTGACAGCATAAGCAAAGTCCCCAGCGCTAGTCTTTTTTTTTTCTTTTTTTATTGGATGTTTTATTTACATTTCATATGTTGTCCCCTTACCCCATCCCCCACCCACCCAGGAACCCCCTATCCCCTCACCCCTCCTTCTTCTTCTCTGTGGATGTAACCTCTATCTACCCCCCCACTCCCACCTCCCCACCCTCAAAATTCCCAACCCCTGGGGCATCCAGCCTTCATGAGGTCAAGGTTCTCTTCTTCCACCTATGCCCAGCAGGGCCCTCCACTCTTATAATTTCAGCTAAAGAACTGGATCCCTCCCTAAGTGCTCCCAGGCTGGTGGTTTAGACCCTGGGAGCTGTGGTTGGTTGGTATTGTTGCTCTCCTCATGGTGCCCCAGCGCTAGTCTTAATTCAAGGCTTTCTGTGTCCTGCCCCCTACATCCATCGTGTGCCCTCCTTCCATGCCTTTTGCAAGTCTCAACCCCCAATCTCCCAACTGAATAAATTCTACTGTCCTTCAACATGCAACTTTTCCACAGTTGTCCCTCCTGCAGCTAACTATGTACTCTGTATTTCTCTCACGGATTCACTAGAGAGTGCCTGGCACCAAAAGAGTCTCCTCCCACCTTCCAGGCAGACCACGCATAAGCCCCTCCTCCTCACCCAACATCTCAGCCAATCAGATAGCACGAAGCAAGGTCCGAGGCACCACAAATGGGCGTTCCCACTCCTTGGAAGTTTGCCTAGCAGATTCCCAGCAGTACAGATGAAGAAAAAAAAAAATCCGAAACCAAGAGGAGGAAGCTGCCACCTTGAAGATAGCCAGGAAGTGGGACCAGGGTCACAAGACTTTGAAGCCCTGCAAGTCCCTTTGATTGTGTAACTTTCATCAGTGGTGCATATCCGTTTCTGTTCTCCAGATTGGGAGAGGTATTTATCTTGCTCTGCCTGGTTACCAAGTGCCCCAGGGAAGAAACTTCGTGTTTTATGGACTATCACACGTTTCTGCGTTATTTTTCTTATGACTTGACATACTCTGGAAGTACTTTGTCTATTTATATTATTTATTTTATCATCCTCCTGGCCCCACAACAATGGGGACTTCGGGAATCAAAGAGTTAACCAATTTTAACACTGCTTCACTGGTTCCTAACACACACCTGGGCATAACCCACAAGCAAAGATTTGTCAGACAAAAAAACAAGCAGGAAGACACAGGCGGGAGTGAAGGCACATGAGAAAACCAATGTTAGCCTAGGGATTAATCCAGTCTACACCCTAGAATGCCTAGGAAAGGCTCCACTGTGTGAGGGAAGGGCTGCACTGCCTTTATTCATAGGATTAGTATTCATATTTGTTTGAGGACTGACAGTCTTCCAAAAACCAGAGAAGAAAGGAACTGCCAGTAAAGACAAAGCCAAGTGTAACCATCAAGTTCTCAAAAATGCAAATAACTGTTTGACCAAGAAATTCTACTTCCAGGAAATTATTCTACAGGCAAAGTCACGTGAGTACTATTAGTTATTAGTGGTAACATTATCTCTTGTACAAAAAGATTACAAACAATCTAAGCAGCAAATGGAGATGTTGAATTAAATATTTATACAATGCATTATTACACAGACATAAGAATAAGGACATTCTCGATTAACACAGAAAAAAAAAACAACCCTGAGGTCCATATTGTTATTCTAAAAATTCAGAGTGTGAAACAATGTGTCTAAACGTGGCTCTTTGTGCAAAAATGGGAGGGGAGGATGCAGTCTCCACTGAGTATGTACAAAGAATGTTGGAAGTATACAGAGAAATAGGGACAATGGAAGTGAAGAGGGAGACTCAGGCTTAGGACAAAGATGGAAAGGAGGCTTTTCCTAGTATAACATTTTACCTGCATTCAAAGTTGAAATAATAAATGGCACCATCCAAAAGTGGGCTCACCTGAATGCCAGGGGGGATACTGTAGATAATCCGGATGGTTTTGCAGTCCGGATGGCCAGGCAAGGAGTGGGGGATGAGGTGATACTCCATCTTCCCTGGAGGCTGGGTGCCTGTCTTGACGCCATAAATGGTCTTACATGTTGGACACTGTAAACTCCCATCCTGAGGAACCAAGTCCAGTACAGCCAGATTAGGAAACTGCTTTGTTCACAACCTTCACCCCCCCACACACACACACCGCCCTAAAGCACCAGAGACAATGGTCTCAAGAGAGAAAACTCACCCAATGGGTAACAGACCTGAAATCCTCTATAGCTACTGAAGCCATTTTGGCTTTCTCTAAAATAACAGGAAGAAAGTGACATGAGTAGTGTAGGTTCCATACTGGGGCACATAGGTGATACATCTCTGTCCTTGAGGGGAAGAGCTGACTAGGGCAGGAAGCCAGCACAAGGAGTTGTGATTTAGCCAACACCCACACAGATGGAACAGACAATAACAGCTCAAGAGCAGAAACTTACCAATTGTTAAGCCCCAGACTCACCCAGGTCATTTTCTAAAATTAAAGATGTTTAGACCCCACATCAAGCCTACTGTGTCAGAATTAGAAGTCTGAGAAGTTCAGGGGTTCAGAGTGGGAACTCTAAAGTAAAGCTGCCTAGATTTGAGTGTAAGTTCTGCCTCATAGCCTTGGACAAATTAACCTGTCTCAGTTTCCTTGTAGTACAAGAAATATAATCTTCCTCTTTTACTGGGCAAATGAAAGTCAGGTGAGATGCATGGAGAAAGTGTTTAGCATGTCATATCTTAATGATATTAGTGTGCTTATGGTATCTGTAAAGACACTAATAGTTGGGTCTTGTGACGGAAAAGAACAAATCTGGCTTTAAGAAAATGGTTCTTACAAAGAGTTATAAGTTGGCTTTTCCTGGGAAGGAAATGAGAGCCCCTTTAGGGAATGGGAACTTAGGGACATACAAACTTAAGGACTTGTCGTCAGTGAGTAATTCACTGGAATTCCAATGAAGTCTCAAAGCCAGTTTTCCCTACAGCACATTGCTGGTCTTTACAGGTTTGAATCAGAACTGTTCCCCAAGGCTCAGGGATTAAAGACTTGACTGCCCACTGAGGAACTTTTGTAGAGAGACTGGATAAGGAGGACTGGAACTTCATTGGTATATTAAGCTACTAGTGTAGTGATCTGAAGGCAGCCCGAAACTGTGAAGGGCAGGAAGAAAAGGAGACAGAGAAGGGGATGGGCAAAGGAGGACACAAGCATGATATACCTATGCAGGGTTTGCCCTCATGTACTTCCTCCATGCACACTGCACATGCTTGCTACCATGATTTGCCTCATCATAAGCCCACAGCAAAGTCTGTCAACCACAGACTAACTCCCTGAAGTGATGAGAGTCAAAAACAAACAACAAACAAAAACCAGAGCCAAATCTGTCTTTCCTTCTCCTTTCTCTTGTTTGCCCATGCATTATGTTATAGCCACAAAGACTGATGTAAATATGGATTGAGGAGACAGTAATATAAAACCTTGTGATCTCGAAGCAGGACCAGGTGAAGTGTCACTGGGTAGGGCAGACAAGAACCCTCAAAAAATCCCAGACAGCAAAGGAATTCTCAGGTTCACAGAAAAGGAGAGGGGAGTAGAGAAGGAAGTGCGCACAGGCAGCAAGCATGTGTGTAGAATGTGATGCTGCCCAGCTACTGAGGCCCTGGCAGACACCAGGGTGTGGGGGAGGGGGTCTTTGGGCAGGAGAGAAGATCCTCTCAGAGCTATTCAGGCATGACTCCATTCATGCTTGGTTAAAAATAGCAGTTCGTATTCATGGCCACTGCTTTCTGCAACCAAGGCCTTGCTTTCTGCTCTAGCCTTAATTGGCTTCAAGACCTGGGGCCAGTGAGTCCATTCTCTCCCATGCTTTTCTTCAATGTGCTTAGGAGAATAAAAATGCTTCCAGTACTCTTAAAAGGGAGAACAAAGCACAGTGCCTAGGGAAACATGTTCGGAGCCCTACAGTTATAAATATGGCCGGGCAGTCTTGGAAGAAACTCATCCAAAAGGGAATGTATGTGCTAAGACATCTGAAGCCCCCTTCCCCCCAAAAAAACATCTAAAAAGGTGAATCTCTAATGAGATACTTCAGCCCTGGGCTGTGAAAGAACATGGAATCGTTCACTAATGATAAAGGGCATCTGAGACACCAAGGAAGATGTCAAGGTAGCAATCCAACCCTACTGGCTCTGTAAAGATGAAAGGGGGAAATGAGGGCCATAGTTAAAAGGAGATACCATTTTGAATACTAACAGTCATAACATTCTGAGAAGTAGCCATTGGTCTGGAAGGCTGGCACAGATGGGAAGCAGCTTGGATACAAGCCTGACTTGACAGACTCTTGAGTTTCATCCCTTGAATGCCAGAAGTAATGGCATGTACAGCTAGAGAGATGGAGGTAGGAGGATCCTTTGCACTTGGTGGCCACCCTTGTCTAATTAGTGAGCAATGTGACACCTTCATCTCAAAAAAGGCCAGGCAGTGTTCTAGAGATGGCACCAGAGGTTGCCCTCCAGCTTTCTCATGCATATGTACTTACACAAACATGAACACACACACACACACACACACACACACACACACACACACACTCAGCCATGAGGTGTGGGCAGCAGCTACTGTTTCATATCTATATTTGACCTGAAAAGTGAAATCTCGAAGAGGTTGAGGGTCATTCAGCCCATAAGCCAAGATTTCCATTCAGGTGTGCCTCCTGCCACACCTCCTCCACTCTTCTCCACTACACAAGACATAAGGGGCAACCCCAAAATCCAGACATGTTCTTGAGCAAGAAGCTAAGAAATATTTGATTGCAAAGTGAACTGGGTCCAGAGACATGGGTGATGGTCAAATTCACAGAGAAGGAGGGTACAGGTGGTTCCAGACACAGACAAGAATGCAAGTCAATGTCTTCAAAAAGCACAGATAATGAAGAGAGAAATTATCACTTACGGAGATGGCCAGATTTCTGAAACTAACTGTAACTGAGAGCCATCACCTTATGTCAGTTAATGGAGAGAAGCCTTGTCTCATCCCCCAACAATGGGTGCTAAAGGCAGGAATTATCAAGTGCTTTGACAATGTCTTTCCAGGGACAGTCAAAAGTGTTTTGACATTATCTAAAGAAGGTGGATTTGAACTTAAGCCACTGGCATGAAGAAGAAAAGCTATTGGGGACCCATGTACTGCATCATGAATAAACAAATTCTTATCATTACAATGAAGGCCTCCTTCACTGATGGAGACCCAGTTCAGTCAGTGGTGGGCCATTTCCCTCAGAACCTTCATGGGCAAAGCTCATCTCTGCTAGACCACCCTGTATACCCAAACCAGAAACGAGGGGAAGCTTGGCCCAAAGGGGAAAATGACGACAGATTTTGCAATGTGGAATCTAATTAACCCTGAAAACGGTACACATGCTCACTCCTGCTACCCTGGCTGAGGGTTAATTTTGATTGTCAACCTGATGGGATTTAGAATTGTCATGGAAACATACCTCTGGGCATGTCTGTGAGGGAATTTCTAGATTGGGTTGTAGCAACATAAATGTGAGCAGCTCTATTCTATCTGCTGAAGCCCTGACTAAATAAAAAGGAGGATCTGAGCTGAGCACCAACATCCATCCCTTTCTGCCCCCTAACTATACACAGGACGAGCTACTTCACCTACTCACCATGCCACCCCCACGGTGAGCTCCCTTAAATTGTGAACCAAAATAAAGTCTTCCTTCCTTAAGTTACTTTTGCAGTATTTTATCACAGCAATCAGCAAAGTAGCAAATATATGTGGAGTGTCTGTTACGAGTTCCAAGTCACATGTAGGAGAACAAGGACACTTGGGAACAAATCATGACTGAACACACTGCTCACCCTCATGGCTGACACTGACCTTGTTCCCATTGTTGTACATGGCCACCAGGCAGTAGATGTGGTAGATGTGGCCACATCTGGACAGCTTTCCCACCAGGTCAGGCTTGACTGTAGGCTGTGGGCCCTTGTAGCCAGAGGGGGCTGTGAGACGCTCCATACAGATAGTACAATCCTGGCAAATGAAGAATAGACAGGCATCAACTCACTCAGCCTAGTGGGGCACCAGAAAAGTAGTTCACCTTCTTCTAGAAATTCCACAAATCAGGGCTGCTGTGTTTGGTGGTAGGGTGGGGGGAGTATTCTAAATATAGTGTTCTCTTGATTTACACAGAGGAGAAATTCCTCAAATAATTTCCATGCATTCATACATGCTAACTTGGACTCATTAACTACATTATAATGATTTCTAGTGGCTTGTCAACAGCTACCATGACAAGCCCATGTTTCACTTTGTAGAGGCATTGTACTAGTCTTAGAGGGGGATTATATCTAAATAAATCTATGGCCTCTCTCTCGACATCAGCACTGCTGATGTTGTGATAGGGTATTTCTTTGCTATGGGTACTGTTCTGGGCCTTATAGAGTGCTCAAACGTTTTTATGGTTTCTACCTACTAGATGTTAGTAACACACTCCCTAGTCAGTCCCAGAACCCAGAGAATCCCCACACAAGGCCACATGCTCCCTCAGGGACAAATCACTTCAGATGAGACTCACTGGTCCATATCAAATCCATTCTAAAGGGAGTTCACATCACTTGGCATACTGTTTTACTTAAACTCAGACAGGCATGGAAGGTAGCTTAGAATCATTTAGAATTCTGCTAAATGGGGCAAGTTAAATCATAACTGCAGCTCAAAACCTTAAACCTTGAAGTGAACATCAGTTAAATCTGTTCTATTCCAGCTAGGACTTAGAAAATATCACCTGCCACATGCTGCAAAATGTGAGGACAAAGGACATGCACTTGGCGATGAAGAAAGTAACCCTCCTCATACCCCCTGACCTCACCTCTTCTGGCGGGTGCCGGACCTTCTGCAGATATTTCTTTAGCACTTCCTCTGGGGTTTTACCTATGGGGACAGGAGAGTCACTAGGTCACCAAGGCAGAGGAGATGGGATCAAATGACTTTGCCATTCTAGGTGGTTCAGAGAGGAAAGTGAGAGACAAGTTCAAAGAGAAAAGGATCTGAGAGACATCTGAGTCAGTTAAAGTGCCTGCCTTGCAAGAACGAAGACCTAAGTTGATCCCTGAAACCTGTGTAATGGAGCATGCTTATAAATCCAGAGATACGGAGTTGAAGTCAGACAGATATCAGGGGGTTGCTGACAGCCACTCTAGCCTAATTGTTAAGCCCCAAGCAAATAAGAGACCCTGTCTAAACAAAACAACAAAACCCAAGGCAGATGGCACCTAAGAAATGATACTTAAGGCTGAACTTTGGTGTTCCTGTGCAGGCAAGCACACACAAGCACACACATGCATGCATGTGTGCACATAGAAGAAAAGGAGGTCAAACTATTTTGTACCAGTTTAAGGAGAACGAATGAGAGCAGAGGTTGTCCCAGATCAATCAAAGTGGCTTGAGGAAGGATGAGATGATCCTGTCTGTCTTGACCTCTTCCTGTCTACTCTCTGACACGTCTGCCCATGTCAGCGAATTTGCATTTTAACTGAGATAACTTGAGTTTCTCTTCCTGATCATAAAGAGCCTAGACTTGCCTATATGATCCCTTGAGAAAACAGAAATGAAAACACTCGGCAGTGCTCTACAACCACCAGTCAGACGGGTTGCATTTCTTTTACAACTCCTAAAGTCCTATCTTAAGTTTTGTAACATGGTGTCACAGTCAAATTATTTTTATGGGAAAGCAGGAAGTTGTGACCCCCAGTTTCAGGAAAGTCCTTCCTGATTTCAGTTAGTTCTGTTGCTGCCAGAAGACACAGCCTAACAGTGGGGAAAGGGTAAGGCTCCAGGAAATATGCTAAAAACCACAGGGTGTAAGGATCTTCAAGAGCTGGATCCTCAGGAAGGAAGCTAAACTGAAGGCAGAGCATAGAATCACAGGGGTTTATAAAAAGCCACAGAGCAAAGAGATCCATGAAACCTTGGGCCATTCGTCTAGCTTTTTCAATCTGTTTTCTTACCCATTAAATAGGGAAGATTGGTAGTACCTACAAAATGGGTGCTCTGACCACTAACGAGGAGCTGATGGAGTCACAGCCCAGGAGCAGTTTGCCAGAGAAACAGTATGTGCTATTAATAGTGCCAGAACGAGGGCAGAAGTGTAAAGCCCTGTCCCGACTTATTGGACTAAGAATGGGCATGTAAGTTCACTGAAGCAGAGAAATTGAAACGGACTGGGAAAGTAGGGCAGGGGCTTGAGAAAGTTTAGCGGACAACAGCCAAAAGCTGCGAGGCAAGGCCTTCTCTCCCACTGCCCTATTTCTCTTGAAAAAAAAAAATTGGGCTTCTATTAATTGAGAGCCCATTGCCTATTGCCAGGCCTTGGGCCAAGTGCTACACACAGCCATTCTGACTCAAACTTCACAGGAAGTTTCTAAGATGAAGGCTTAGGAGAGCATATCGTTTCATAAGCAACATCAGAAAGCAAGACTGCCAACCCAGAGTCCCCGAGGTCAAGGAAGGTACCCTTTCCCTTAGGAGCTGGGTTATGGATATGTACACAGAGATTGTGAAGGGGGGGTCATGGAGCCAAAGGCTTCAGAGGGACACAAAACAGTGGTTACTTCTCAACTGTCATAGGCACATTCTAGCACACACACACACACACACACACACACACACACACACAGACACACACACACACACACAGACACACACACACACACACACACACACACACACACACACCTGCTGGCGGCGGGCATCACAAAGACGGGAAGGCAGAAGTTCCACCCAACTAGCTACTGACAAAGGTCCTACTTGATGCAGTATTTCTATTCTGACACCAAAGTTATGTTTCTCTTTTAACATACAACACTTCATATTTTAATGCTTCTGCTATTGTTGCTTTGTATGTTTATGTGTCTCCAGGTAGTTCTCTCAGACCCATACCCAACCCTCTTTGGTAGACTTATCACAATCTACTAGCCCAACTGGCTTAGCAGATTTGGAAATGACAGCCCAGGGGGCTAAGCCATGGCTTTAACCTTGGTGCAGGTAGAGCCAGGGCTGGAGGCCCAATTTTTTACTCCGGGTATCTAATCAAAAGAAGAGGCCTGTACCTTTCTTAGCCTGTTTTTTGGTGGTTTTCCGGCTTGTGTTAGAGACCCCTGGGATGGACTTTATCTCACTCTTGCTGACAGGGGGCGGGTGGAGGACCAGCTTTGGAGGGCGAGTGAGGCACACAGGCAATCCCGCTGCACTCATGAGGATCCCGGTGATTCCTGGAAGGGGCAGGGCAGGGGTGAGGAAGGGTTGAAGAATGTGCTCCCAAGATTCCCCACACCCTCCCTCCTGCTCATCCACTCTCCTCTCCAGCCAACGGTATTCATAATTCATGCATTCTCTATGCACACATATGCAGTCACATGCTTGGGTGTGTCGATGGGTAAATGCCAGAAATCAGCTTTTTTTGTAAGTTGTTCTTCAGAAGCCAATCACCTCATTTAAAAAAAAATATTAATTAAGTGTGCTTTTGTGCTAATCCCCCATTCTGTTATCTTCCTCCCCTTTTAGAAATAAGTTTCTTTCCCACATTCATGTTTTTTTTTTTTGTTTTGTTTTGTGACACACTAATTTTGTCCGGGGACTTCTGTGTGACCATGAGTGTGAAGCTATTCACTAGCATGGCATAATTGAAGGTAATGACTCTCCCCTCTCAGAATCTACCAGTAGGCACTAGTTCAACAGGGATATGCAGGGTGCTCTGGGGCCCTCCCCAGTCTATGCCTGACCAATGACAAGTCATTCTTATGTAGGCTCAGTGTAGGCAGCCATAGCTGATGTAAGATCATGACTGAACTGTCTGTGTTATACTGAGAAGGTAGAATTGACAGCCCTTCTCCCTGTCTCCTACATCTTACAATCTTCTCACTCCCTCTTCTGGGATATTCCTGAACCTTAGAGGGGCTGGTTGCCTTGTTTTGTGAGACAAGGTATCATGGACATGGACTTCACCAGAAAACTGGTAGTCAGCAAACTCCAGGAACCTGCCTGTCTCTGCCTCTCAGGCCTCACATCACTCTTCCCATTTTAAAACAAAAAGAACAAGGAGTCTGAGATAGAATGTTTGTCCTCATGCTTGCCAGTCAAACACTTTATTGGATGAGCTATCTCTCAGGACCCAGGGCACGCTCAGCTTTTGGCACCACCCACTGAGATTTCCTGTTCGGCTCCTAAGATCTCATTTTCTTCAGTTAGAATCCAAATTCTCTCCTCTTTATAAACACGTGCTCACTAGCTAGTCCATGATTCTGAGTTTTCAGATTAAGTCAGTCAAACCCACGTTAGTTAGCTCTTACCTGCCAAGGCAGGATTAACAGGGCTGGACCCATTCAAATTTTTCACAGGCACAGTGGGAACCCTGTGGAAGGAACAGGAAGATGTGTTATGGCTCTAACAAACAGAACAGAATGAACCAGCGTTTAAATCTACTGAAGTGCTGTGGGTTTTTAATAAATATGTCAGTGGGAGGGGAGAGGTTCAAACTGAACGTATATCATGACACTCTCCGCTCAGAACCTGAGCATGCAGAACAGGTCCAGGATGCCCACAGCCAAAGCAAGGGAATTCCCAGCTCTGCATTATCTGCCAATTCCTCTCCACCTCAACCTTCTTGCCCTTCTGCTAGCCTCTTCACATCGCTGCCTAGCCCTTACTGGTCCTCACCTCTCCAGTCACATGCCTGCCTACCCACCTTTAGAAAATGTTTCCTTGACCTAAGATGTTCTTCCAGGATACTGCCCATTTCCACTTACACTCCCTTATATTGGCTAAAACACAGATCTTCAGCCAAGATCAGAATTATATCCCTATCCCCAAATCCATGCACCACAGGAATCCATATGCCCCCACCCCCACATTCCTCAGAGAGCAGAGATGTTGCAATCCCTGGTCCAGCATTTGGAAACCACTGCCTGAACAGCTGTCACTTCTCCTCGTCCCAGAAACTTATAAACACAAGCCGAGTTTCCTCCCCTTGCTGACTTCCCCAGCTCTGGAGAGAAGCCCACACAGCTGCCTGGGAAAGGCCAGGCCGCCCACGGTGAAGGCACTGATGGTGAAAATATAAGACACATAGACATGGGCTTGTGCCACTTCCCTGCCACCAAGGCTTCCACAGCTGGCTTGGAGAAGCCAGTGGGCCTGGCGAGAAATGCCTCTGGAAGCCAGGAAGCGTGAGAATCCAGCTAGGATAGGCCTATGCTGGGAAGTAGAAGGAAGAAAGCAATATTTATTTATTTGTCTATTTCAGAAAAACTCATTGAACCCTACTTTGGGACAATCATGATTAATGCTGGAGGTGCAGCTGTGAGGATGACACCCCGTGGCTTTTCCTCTATGGGCTATGATTCACAGGGCTCATATGTGGCTGGGGGTAATCCTAACTAACTATTCAACAACAGACAAACCCGCTCAGTGCTCAGTCCTCTCAGCAACCGACAAAAGAAGTGTTACAGTCAATCTCACTGCATAAGTAACAAAATTGGGGCACACAGAGGTTATGCCAACTAGACCAAGATTGCACGCAGGAGTCTAACACACAATATCTGGCTCGAGTCCTTTCACTGTGCCTCCTAGAATGCCAAGCTCTGCACTGCCCCATGTAACGAACAAAGGCACCACTAGGACAGAAGAGAGGCCTAGTAGCCAGGTCCAGGTCCAGGGTGATGAGGTTCCTCTGCTGCCTTTCCATGAAGACAGAAGCAATGAAGCTCATAAAAGCATGTGGTGTTGTGTATCTGGCCAAACCTAAAGCTACTTTTTCCCCCCAACTGCCACTTGAATAAGGCAAGACCGGATATGGGGAGGGGAAGGTTGTCTTTAAAATAAAAATCACTAGACCAAGGAAAAGGGAACAGACTTGATTCCTGGTTCTGTAAACCACCAAGCACTGCAAATAATATGAAATCAGCCAACCGCTTGAGCCTCAGTGATCTGGGGTTAGACTGTGTCCCCTTGGCACCTTCCCATTACACTATTTTGGAGGAAGGTGAATCAGAAGCCCAGGATCCCTTCCAGGACAGATTCACCTCTCCACTCTACCTGAAGAGACTAGAAAGGCCTGCCTCCTGTGGTATGTCCCCTGGCCACCACTAGGGGACAGCACTAGCTGCACAGCCACGCACCTGCCTCCTTTCACCATCTCCAGGGCCCCCACCTCAGCTGATAAAAAACTGTGATCTGAGTGACAAAGGCCACCTTTGTTTCCACAAACCGGACTGGCAGGTTTCCACACACTATCTGGTCCACCAGGAAGTACTCCAATCCTCAGAGCAGCCCGAGGATTGTGGTGTGTGGGAGGGTCTAGAGAGATATAGGGGAAGCCTGTTTGTGGAACTCCTGAACAGTCAGGAAGACTTTGGGATCAACCTGTGGAGCCAACCTTCCTCTGTGTGTCAGGAAAGGGGCAATCTGGCCCCTGGTCTGTGGGCAGCAGTGGAGTTCAGTGGAGGGCAGGGCTATATGCTTTACCAAACACCAACAGCAAACATGGAGAAGAAATGGAAAGTAACTGCCTGCATCTGTACACAGCCTGCCTTGCCTGTGGCAGCGCTAGCCAGCTCTTCTGTATTCTGTGATCACATCTGCCTGCCTTTACCCCAGCTGTACACAGGCCTGATAAATGTCTGCTCCCTTGGGGTCCCTGTGAGGCTGTAGGATCTAGGTCAAGTAGTTGGTAAACAGCTGAGCCTTGTGCAAATTTGAGCAACTGTTTACACTTTTATTTTCCAATTGTCGAAGGACTTGATTTCTGCCGCTTCCTGCTTTAACAATCTAGTTTTCTCACATTCTTGAGCACAGGGTGTCAGTTATAAAGGGCAGAGTTGAAAGCCTAGCAGTACTGGGGACTGTGAACAGGCATCACCTGCCTGCCCTTCCCCCCATGGTTCCTGGTTAAAATGAAAACCCCAGAAACCCTGTCCTCTGTCCTTGGGCCTCAGCTATCCGAGCCCGAGCTCCTCCTTCTGTGAAACAGCAGTCCAATAGCAAGCTTCCTTCTCACATCTTCCAGGCAACTGAGCCGAAGCCCTTGGACTTAGTCCTGTACTGGCCAACCAGAAGACAGCCCTTCCCCCATCCTCTTGGGCTGTTACCAGTTATGGAAGATCCAAGTTTTTATTCCCATTGATAAAGTAAAACTGAGGGAGCTGACACAGTAAAGGGAAGGGGGCCTGAATGGGGCGGGTGATATCCCTACAGACCCCATGTGGAGAAGGCTTAGTGTTTTCTGAGTTATTCACCAACCCAGGAAGCCTCATGAAGGACAATGGCCTTGTCTCTAAGGCAACCAGCAACCATGCCTAGCTGGAGGTACTGAAGCCTGGACTCTGAGGGGAGAGGGGTGACTGCTGCCCTGCACGGACCTTCCCACCCCTTTTAAGAACCTCCTGCTTGCGTCTGAATAATCCGATATGTCTTTTGTCCCCTGCCAATACTTTCTCTTCATCCAGTATTGCCTGCCATCCCTGATCTTCCTTTTTTTCCCCCTTTCTTGTGGGAAAGTCTCTTGAAGAGGTTATGGACAGAGGGGATGGGGACTGAGCTGTGTAATGACAGAAGGTTGACGGCAAGGCCAGACAAAGAGGATAACACATGCTCATTAGTGGCCAAGAAAAACTGTGAGAAAAGATAGCAATGGGATGCAGGAGGTGGAGAAAGGTGAGAAGAAAGGGCTGGAAGACAGAGAGAGGTGGGAGGAGGCCCCTTTCAGAAAAACAGAGCAAAAGCAACTCATTTCTATAGCCCTTTTGAAACTGCACTGCCCGGACTGCGCGCACTTCTCCAGCTTGGCAGGGGAACAAAGAAAAGAAATGAAGCCTGTTGAGTTCCTCAGACTCATTGTAGTTTAAGGTGATCTGGGGGTCTCTGCCTCCATGATGGCATGGGGGAGTTACTGGGGAATTTGTCAAGGGGATAGACATGCGGTGTAAGTTGGATTGGCTCAGCTTAGCCTTCAGTTCAGTAACAACACAAGGGACAGTCCTTAGATACATCATGATCATGATCATCATCATCATCATCATCGGCAGCTAAAACCCATTGGACTCTAGGCAGTCTCTGAACTGAAGGCTTCATTTAACCCACGTGACAACCCTAGAACTGAAATACTATTATAGTGTCACTCAACAGCTAAGAACCCTGAAGGCAGAAGAAACAAAACTTATTCCAAGTGTCACAGCAAGGAACTGAGTTCAAGTTCAACAGTCAGGGGGTTCCCTACATACACGGAGTCTCCTCCTCTGTGCTGGCAATCACCCTGGAACTCTGCTAGAGCATCCATCACTCTACTGCAACCCAGTGTAGAGAAGCAGAGTGGCAGCAGGATCCAGCTTCTCCCCTTCTGTCTCATGCTTCCCCACGGAGGAAGTCATGACCATCTCATGCCTCTGACTAGCATTATAAGCTGCCTTCACCTTCATTGAAGCATTAGCCGAAACAATGACAGAATGGTGGACGAAATCTTGTGTTCCAACTACTCTCCACAACATGAGTTGGGTGACCTTCTAAGGGAAGATATCTCACAAGCAAAATGTCCATATTAAAATATATCAGCAAAAGAAATGGGCTGACATGGGCAAGCACATCTGGGGCAAGCACAACTGGGCCTTGTCAAGGAGTGAACTCTATCCATGGAGGGTTTCACAATGATTTCATGAGCAGCTTATGCAGACTTGGGATCATTTGGCATACAAGGACACTGACCCTTACAAAGATCCTGGGCTTACACAAGTGAGATGCTGGAAGAGAGGCTGTCCCAGCTCAGTACCCCTCCATTCGACTGTGCATCTTCTTTCATTTCCCTTCCCTATGCTAAGACTCTATGTTTGGAGACCCACCTGAATGTCTATGGCATTGCCTTAGGGCAGCCTGGATTTTCAGTCTAGGGACTCATTCCAGCTCTAAAGCCTTTTCAACCACCTGGGGCATAGGGCAGCACCAGGGCCAGGCCTCTGGAGAGAACGGGAAGGCTGGTGCAGGCACTGCAGGGAGCTGGGCACTCCCATTTGGTGGATAAGGAAAATTGAGAACGTAAGAAACACCAATGGCACCTCCCACAGCACCAGAACGTCATGAGAATGCTAAGATGGGACATGAAAGAAGCAATCCCTGCTTGGCACCTACTGTATGCCTGTACTGAGGTAAATGCCTGGTAGGGAAGGGGATTACAAGGCCAGACTCCTACAACATACCGGATTTTCTTTATCTGTGAAATGCAACAGTGTCCCCAGAGTCAATATAAAGATTATAAATGAGATGATAAAACTGTCAAAGCAGAACACAGAGAGCTGAACTAATGCTGCCTAAGACTTTCTACCACAGTCATCTGTGCCCCTCACTAGGACTGGAACATGGGTGTGCCCTATGTTTCACTAATGACGGACTCAGAGCTCCATGGGTGGATCTGGCTTCAGACCACATGACAAGTAAAAAGCAAGACCCCAGTTAGATCCAGACGTTTTGGTGCCCTAATATGAAAGGCCTCCTTGTCCACACCAAGCTGGCTTCCACCTGTCAGGGGCAGCTCAGCCTGAAAAGACTAGAGATGTGCCCGTCTTGGCAAGTCTCTCTTGCTGTCTGACCCACAAGTGAGTCATATGCTCTCACTGAGGTGGGTAAGTGCTCTGTGACAAGCAGGAAAACACCTACCCCGAGGCAATCAGCACCCGGGACTGAGCAATGGCCAGTCGCTGCAGATTGGACCGATTCAAAGTGGCCAGTGCCACTCTTCCAGTCTTCCTGTTGCTTCCTTGTGGGCTGGCGGGGGAGCCTACAGTAGCCACAGCTGGTGTATTAGAGACTTGTCTCTGGATCACCTGTGATGGGGCAGTCTTCCCTGGGCCTCGGATGGTGCCAATAGTATCTAGTGGCTTTGCCCCAGGGCCAGGAGGCTGGGGCAGCTTGCCCACTCCAGAGGGGGCCATGTTCTTTCGTGCTGCTGGGGACTGAAGGGGACCAGTGCTCCCATGGACCACAGCAGCCTTGACACTCATCACCAAAACACACTGTGGACAGGAGCAAGGTGGTGCAGGGGAGGATGTGGCCGGTCCAGGACTGACTGGCCAGGACTGAGCCTTTGGCATAGTGCCCGTAACCATGGGGTAGATGAGGTCTAGTCGTCGTCGGACGCGGCGTTGGCGCTGGGTCTGCCTGTTGATCTGGCCCATGGTGCTGAAATCTATTATGTAGCTGAAACCAATGGATGTGAGGTCGATCCATGGGTGCTGCTTCTCATAGGCATGCTGGATGGTGATGCCGACTTCCATGTCATAAGGTGTCCAGGAACCATTGTCATTCTCCCATTCCCATACCACACCCTTCCCAGGAGCTGAGGATGGGTCGTAGTAGTTTCTGCGAACTGGACGGAGGGTACCTGTCAAAAGTCAGACAGGAGGGGTTAGAGACGGTATAAGAATCTCACCGATTTGTATTAGATTTACAGGTAAACATAGCAGTAGTCCTACTGTGTGGCAGGCCCTATGCTGTCAAGAAGTGTGTCAGTTTTGAATAAAGCTCATTCAGGGAAGCTTACAAACAATCCAGGGTAGTAGTAGATGAAACCACAGGACAGGGCAAGCCTTGCCAAACAACAGAATGTACCTCTAAGCTTAGGGTTCGGGTGCATCGATTTTCAGATAAATCAATACACTTTCCAGCTAATACAAAATACCTCAGCCAATAGTTGTTGGCTCCCCCCCAATCCCCTGGGAGCTTTTGCAAACAAAAACAAACAAATCAAAACACCAAAGGTGATTTGTTTACACAGTCAATGAACATGAATTCACACATGCCAGGACTCCTCATGAATGGCCAGGAACTCTCACTTGGGAGAGAAATGGCCTCATGAAGAGAACTGCTCATAGACCACCTCTATTCCTGTCAATATGCCCGCACCCAGGGCTATGGAAGAAGAGAACACAGAGCTTCAGAAGTCTAGAAGAAAGGGGGACAATTCTATTTCCATCTAGAAGACCAGAGGCTGTGGCAATGAATGGCTCTTTCAAAGCACATTAAAGAGAAGGAAGAACTGGGTTGGTGATTGGCTCTTTGGGTAAAGAAACTTAATTCTAAGCCTGATGGCCTGGATTTGGTCCCCAGGACCCACATGGTGGAAGGAGAAAGCCAACTCCCATAGGTTTACCTCTAACTTCCACACACATGCCTGGCTCAAATCACCCCGCCCCTGTCCTGACAAAACAGATAAATGTTCAAAAAAAATTAAAACAAAAATATGTTATTGGAAGATGGGGCATCTTCTTGAGAGAACTTTCACCCGTTTCCCAGAATTAAGCCTTTTATCAGCAAGAATAACATTCTCAATAGTCACGAGAACCATTTAATTATTATCTAAGATTTTCTTCCAAGAAACTCAGCCCATCTAAAGATAGCATCCTCTTCATCTGATGGTTTCTCTGAGGGCTTGGAAGAGCCAAGGTGATTACAAGTTAATGGGACAGCACAGATGACCCAGCAGGACAGCAGTCTACAGAGTCAGACTCTCTGTCTCTTTTTAACTCTCCCTTCCCTAATCCCAAATTCTGTCTCCAGTCAAGACTCATTACACAGCATCAACATCAAGGCTCAAGACTGAAGAGGCCTCTGAGATGCTGGGGAGTCCCTGTATCTGCCAACTTAGGCTCCATCTGAGGAAGTGGTGGGAAAAGGCTCCCCTTTCCTGACCTCTGACCCAACCCCTCCTCCAACCCAGAGGGAGACACCATGACTGGGACAGAATCCCATTCAAGGGGTAAAGAAAGGAACAATGGTTATTCAGGCCTTTGCCGGGGTCATAACCCACTCCCCACCCCATCTTCCAAGCCCCTTAATGACCCAAAACATCAACATTCAGAGAAGAACAATCCTCTATTCAGTGCCAGGATCTCTGCTGGGGGCCCTGGGGTATCAGAATGGGAGGGGGGTGTGCCGGGGTTAGCCTCCATTTCCTTCCTTAGTAGCAGGTCAGCTTTCTGGGGAACAAAGCACAGGGTCCATGAGGAGCTTCCATCGCTTCCTGCTGAGGGAGGAAGCCTCCTTTCCTCATCTCTTAGGTTTCTACATAGCAACATCAACAGGTGAACTTGGAAATTAAATGAAGAAACAAGTATAAAGCTACAGGAACCTGTCACATAGAAAGTGCTCAACCAAATGGATGGTGATTATCACCATAGTTCATCCTGAGGTGTTACAGGGAAAGTGCAGTTTAGAGGAGTGTGTGTGTGTGTGTGTGTGTGTGTGTGTGTGTGTAAGGGGGAGAGTTTGAGAATACAAAATCACTGTGCCCGTATCTGCACTTCTTTACAATTAGACAGCCACTCACAGGTACCCACTCTGTACAACTTCCATGGCAATCTTATAAAGCATCTTTTACAGATAAGAAAATCAAGTTCAGAGAGTTTAAGGACATTTTTTAACATTCCCTCTAGAGAACATGGGTAATGCACTTGACTAGTCCTGCCAAATGTGTTTTAGACGATATAGTTATCAATCCTAGAAAAGCCTGAACATTGTCCCTGACTCCCTAGACCAATTTCTGGCTCCATACACAAGCTCCTAGTTTATCTCCTTCTATCCTCTCTATTTCCCACTACTTCTGACAAATGGAGACCTCCTAATTCTCATGTACTCCATTAAGGGTCCCTAATTCTTCACCACAATCTCCTGCTTACATCCCCTTGCCACACTCCTATCCTAAAACTTTCCTCTTTTACTTCTTTTGTCTCTCTTCACCCATTCTTGAAATAATCTACTCTGACCCCCACCCCTCAGGAAGCTGGAGGTGCAGAACTTGACTGTTTTCAGATGGCTAAGCTTACTCTTCTTGTAGGTGCTGAGTGGAGGCAGGGATACAGCTGTGTAGCTCTTTGTAGTCCACTCCCCATTGCTAGGTCTGGCAGTTATAAAAGCACCATAAACTGTGCCATGATTGACTGAACACTCTGGCTACTATCATATTTACTCATTGATCGCCTATTGTCCAGCATCCCATTAGTTGCTATGGAGAATGCAAAACTCAAGCATTCCTCAAGCAGAGTGCTGTCTCAAAAGGAGTTAGGAGACAAATGTGTGAGTGGCTGTTGATGCAAAAGGAGCCAGAGGATGTCAAGGAGATGCAAGGTGGTGGGAGAAATGATTAGAGCCCTTCTCTGTATAAATCTTCCTACAATATTTTCTTAGGCTAGGACAACAATCCCCTTCTTCAGCACAGCTCCTTCTCATGTCATCTGCACACATTTCTTGTACACTGGCCTCCAGTCTCTCCCCTGTTGCTATTATTTTCTGCCCCTGGGACTCTTCATGATGCTAGGTCCTCCCTCAGACTCGCTCGGCAATACTTTGTTTGCTCTTTCAGGTTAAATAAAGCTCATTTCACTGCAAGGAAAACTCTATGACCAAATCCTACTTTGTAACAGCACTGACTTCGATGTGAAGTTTACCCATTTATTTATGTGGCTAGTTAGATGAAGACCTCCATCCCTCCCTAGAGACTCAGTCTGGTGACAGTAGGCACAAAACTGTTTATCCTAGTTCTGTCCCAAAGGCTTGACTTGTCCTGGGGGCTCTATAAATAGTAATCAATAGCCGAAGTAATGATAGGTTGCAGAACTTTCGAAGAAATAGATGACAAATGTCATAAGTCTTGAAAGATAAAGAGAATTTCAATAGTCAGATGGTAAGAAAGGACATTCCTTCAAGGGGGAACCATGTGAAGGGGTGGATTAGAGAAAACCTCAGTAGTACTGGAAATATCTAAGGCACAGAGGAGCAAGTTTGAGCCAGGGAATGGAAAGTCTAGAACTTCAAGCTGTGATAGACTTTGTTTTTGGGTAGTGAAGAAACTTGTGTTAACTGTGAGTGACAAGACCAGAGCTGCTCTCCTGATCAGTTCATAGTGAGTGGATGCCTGGTGGAGAAAGCAAAAAGAGAGCTGGGGAGTCCCCACAGAGAGGACTGGGAAGGGCCTGAGCTTGGACAGCTGGGCACTCTGCAAACGAGGCTTCAAGGCCACTTATTCATAATCCCCAGGGATCCAGCAATGACCTCAAGACCCAACAGCCTCGGCTTGGGAATCTAGTTGTCTTCATGCACATTAAAATTCCAACACATCTCACATCCCATGACATATTAGCCACCCAGGCTCTGGGTAAGAGGATGAGTCAAAGAATCCTAAGGCCAACCACAAGAAAAACGGCAAAATGGTAGCAAACAGAAGAATGTGAAGATGAGCTAATTTTTGGAGACAAAGTTGCTGAATTGAGTTCAGTCCTACGGGGTAGTCATCGAAAATACACAACCTCAAAACCCCAAATTTGAGACGTGAGAGATGATGAGACCTCACTTTCTGGAACAGTGGTTCTCAGCCTTCCTAATGCTCTGACCCTTTAATACAGTTACTCATGTTGTGATGACTCCAAACATTTTTGTTCCTACTTCATACCTGTAATTTTGCTGTTATGAATCATAATGTAAATATCTGATATGCAGGGCATGTGATATGTGACCCTTGTGGGAATCGTGACCCCCAGGTTGAGAACCATTGCTCTACAGAGTGCTTTATCTGGAATACCGTCACCCTGGGCTATTCTAAAATCAGGACCATGAATTAGATAGTCTGAAGAAATTCCATCTTGTCCTATGGCATGATGACCCAGGGAGACAGTCTCTAATATGGTAGAAATAGAGGACACTCACACACTAAGAGTAAGGGCTAGAAGGAAAATTTGCTTCCTCCCAGGTACCCAGACACAAGCATCTGAAAACATCCAAGAGTATCTTGGGAAACAGAAGACAGTGCTCCAGGCATGGGCTGAGGTGGCTAAGACATGCAAACCACACCTGTGGTTTTTATAGCATATTCTGTCTAAGCCCTAAGCTTCTCTTACTAGCACCGCCTCAGCTCACCCTCAGTGTAGAATGTTCCATAAGGCTGATGTCTTGGATGTTCTATTACTGCTATGTTCCACATGCCTGCAACTGCATAGGGACTCAGTGGACAGTGTTCACAAATGCAGGGAAGGGACATGGGACATGCCATTAGACTCTTAGCTCTGTCACTGACTAAGTAACTTGAACTCATGAGCAATTTAAGCTCTTTCAACTTGTTCCTTTTTCTTTAAAATGGGAACAACAGTCTTCATATAATCCTGTGAAGATGCAACAAGACACCTCCGCAACTTGCTTGGCATATCATAGTCACATCTCCTCTACTCTGTGGCATCCACATGTTCATCCGAATGTCTACCTCCCCCATTCCTGTGCCCACACTAGGTAGGAAGCAATAGGAGAGATTTTGTCAAATTTTGTAACACCATTCACTGCATTAGCCCCTTCTACTTGCATCAATGATGAAAAGAGATAGGCTAGTACTAAAAACTTAGAGCTGGAGAGACTTCATTCTTGCAGCAACCTATTTTATTTTCATTTGCATCATTGTTGGCGCAGGGGCCCTGCCCATGCACCTCTAGATGCCTATGCTGGAAGAAAAAAGGTCCTTGAAGGCTTCTCTTCAATCTACAAAGGGAAAGACCTGAGCAGTTAGGGACAGGCCTCACTACAAAAGAAAAGAGACAGTAGAGGACTTTGCCTGGAGAGGACTCCGCCAAGGCTTACAGAAATGGCCAAGACTGGTTCCTACCCGCCTCTCTTCTTACTACCTTCTAAATATTCTCTAGCCCAGATGCCTAGTGGAAACTAGCCTAGAATGTAAATCAGATCCCATCTGCAAGAGTCTGGGGAAGGAGGACCCAGGGCAAACAGAAGCAGGCATATGGGTGTCTGCAACCTCCCAGCCATCTCCCTGGAGACAGTCCGGATGCAGCCAAGAGCTCTGAGGAATGGAGAGACCTAAGACTTACTAGGTATCCAAGCATACAGTTCTGAAAAGAGAAAGCTCTCATGTCAAATGCCTATAAAACAAGACAACCAAAGTCAGAGTGATGGCTGCTAGGCAGGGAACTTAGAGCTTGTCTATCTTTATAGGGATTTTTTTCTGGTTCCCAGCTTTAAAGTGTGGCTTGGGGACAATGGGTAATTTAATTAAATATTGCCAGGGCTTGAATGAGGTTGCCTGGGAGTTGGTGGCTTAAAGTTCCTGCCATGTCATAATCTTATCAATGGTCTATGTTCAGAGGAACTGAGTTCTTGTGTCATCGAAGAAGGGAGCACAAGGGGGTCAGAACTGACATGAAAGAATTCTAATCTGCAATTATAAGCTCTCTGGCAGGCACAGCCTTTCTAGGGATTTATCCCCATGCCTTCAGTACCTCAGCCTAGCACTTGCCGTAGGGGAAATAGGTACCTAGGAAAGTAATCTTGATGTAGGAAACAGGGGGGGGGGTGAAACCAAAGCAGCATGGATGTGAAACATACAAACACAATCTTTAAAAGGATTCAGGCTGGAAGAAGTGGTGCACATCTGTAGTCCTAGAACTAGGGAGGCTGAGACAGGTAGCTGGCCAGTTTGAGGGCAGCCAGGATAAATACCTAGACCATATTTTTTAGAAGTTGTGCAGATGCAGAAGAAACAGCTCAGTGGCAGAGTAGTTGCCTAGGATCATGGCTATGTCTCAGCTTCAGACATGAAACAGAAGCAGCTCCAGCACCAAGTGACCTGCCATAACCACTAGGCCATAGGTAACTGACACCCCTTTCTCCACCCCCCACCCCCAGAATAGCTACCAGCAGCCAGACCCTGGGACAGAGAGTCTGTCATTCATTCTATGTTCTCCAGAACTTCCGTCAAGATCAACTTCTACATCATGGATGCTCTAGTGTACCTATGTTCATCTTAGAGCGCCCCATTAAGTCACAGATTAAGCCTCCAAGTTCCTGAAGATGGGGCAGGGGGTGGGAGCCAGTCCATTACTAGCATAGCTCTCCATATGCTGCACAGATTTAGTCTGAAATAGAAGAGCTAAACTTGCTGTTTTATTTTGGGCAGGCCTGGAACTCTGTCAGGTGGTCTGTTGATCTCACCTCCAGGGCTCGGCTGCTTCCTCCACACACATCCACTCCACACCCTCTCTCAGGCCTCACTTCCACATCCTCCACCAAATATACAATGGCATCTTCTTCTTACTCTCAGGCTACACTTAATCCTTCTCCCCTATTTATTTTCTCTTCCTCTCTCTCTCTCAGCTCCTCTTCCCCAGCCAGATGCTAAACTTCTGGAACTTTTTTTTCCCCTCCAGAAAGTTTTCCTTCATTGGCCATGATAATACAGTTCTTGGCAAAGAGGTTGCTCAGAGTTATGACTACAGATCACAAGAGAGAGGAACTGCACCTCTTTCCCATGACAATCCCAATTAGCACACAGGATGTGAGGGCTTTCCCAGGAAGCTAGAGGACCTGTCCAGCAGCTGTCCCCTAAGTCACAGGGCCCTCCTCCTCCTCTCCTCGTCTCCCTCCCCACCACACCTGCTCCAGGCTCTGCAGTTACACCCTTGGGAAAGAAAGGCCAGCCAGAATTCCAGAAATGACCCCCGATTGTAGAGATTACTGTCTGGAGACAGAAACTTGTCCCAAGGCACCAGTTAAGACCCAAAGAAGAGGGCACCCCTGCTTTCCTTCTCTCTTCAGTGGCTCCCAGCCCCTACTCTAACTGAACCTATATAGCTCCCTTCCTGGTGAGGATCAAAATGGGCTGCATAGCTGGGACATTTGTGGCAGACTTGGTGACAACTTGGATTTTATGGAAAGATAAGAGTTTTGAGCCATGGGAGGCCAGAGTGGTGGCCCCTGTGTGCAATTTTAAGAAAAAAACCTAAGGACAGTTTCTTCTTAACCTTTCTCCTCCTCCTCCTCCCTCCCTCCTTCCTCCTCCTCCTTCTCTGTGGACAAAGGGAGCAGCTTCCCTGCCAGGCATTCCAGAGCCCAGTCCTCCCGCCTCCTCTCTCCATCTGCTCTGGCCTGTTGCTTCATTGCTTGAAGTGTACAAGCAGAGGCATCTGTGGATGCCATCACATCCAGGATGCTCCAGTCCTGGAACCCATGCCCCATTCTCTCTCCCAGTGTTGTCCCAGCACTTTCATACAATAGACTGTAACCGGAGACTGGAGATCCCAAGTCTCACACTCAGGAGCTGTCAGGGGGAAGGCTGGGTCCATAGAAGAGAGCCATAGACAAAGTTGAAAGGGGGTCGGGAGGCAAGTGTGTGGTAGGCCCCAAGGTGCCTGAGGCAAAACAGAGTCAACTGAGGTGTGAGCAAGTGTGAACCAAGGGGCTCAAGAAGTGTCTTGCTGAAGAGTCAGCATTTCTTTGGGTGTGGGGGGGGGGCTGCAAAGCCCTAGAGTTCCTGCACAAAGGGCTACTTAGGGGCTGGGGGGGCATAAAGGGGTCTCCTGCAGCTAAGCTGAAGCTGGGTGTGCATAAGCAAGACACTTTAAACTACTTGCGTAGACATTTACTTGGAGATGGTCTTGGGATCCTGTGAGGATCCAGGGAAGAAAAACACCTGCCCTCCACACCTATAGCTCACGCCAGTAAGCAAAGCTGGCCACTGGGTGGATCACAGCGGACCCGGAGGAGGGAGCTCCCGGGACAGACAAGGGATGTAGCAGGCTCACCGGTGTCTTGGCGGAACTGGTTCATGGACTGCAGGTCGATGATGTAGGGCGCGAGCCGGCTGTCCACCTGGCCCAGCACCACGCTGCCCCCGGCGCGGGGACCAGCGCGCACCACCGCCTCGATGTGGTGGCTCACGGCTGGGCTGTAGGGACGCCAGCGGCCGTGCTCGTTCAGCCATTCCCACACCACCACGGCCGAGGCCAGGAGCATGGCGAGCCCGGGGCTGCAGCGCAGTGCTGCCCGCCTCCCGGGCCCGGCCTTCTGCGCTTCCTCCGGCGCCGCCGCCTCCGGGTCTCAACCGCGCCCCCCGGTCCGCGCCCCACCGCTGCGGGAAGCCTCAGCAGCCGCCGATGGGGGAGTCCGCAGCCGCGTAGGCACCGGGACGCGGACCCCAGGGCCGCCTGCCTCCGACTGCGCTCCGCCGGGCTCCGCCGCCGCTGCCGCTGCTCCAAGGGGTCCAGCGGCTTCATGCAAAGGCCCGGCCCTGCGCACTCGCCGCCCCGCCTTGCAAAGCCACCCGGGGGCGCGCGGCCGGAGCGCGACGCTGCACCCGCCTCGCACCAGTTGCGCCTGGGGCTCCGCGGGCGCCCGCGTGGATCGCTCCGCACGGTCACGCCCTCCGCCCTCTCTCGGCACGGAGCACAGCGACCGCGGTGGCACAGCTCCCCCTCCCTGCGGCTCCGCTCTGTGGCTTCCAGAAGGAGTCGCCCCTCCCGGGCAGAGCGCCAGGGCGAGCTCGTGCTCGCGGAGGTTTCCCTAGTCTCCTGGTGCCGAGAGCACGCGCGCCATCCCAGTCCCAGCGGCCACCGCTGGGACCCAACTTTGCAGTCTGCTCAAAAATGGAACTGTCTGTCTGTCTGTCTGTCTGTCTGTTTTCAGCGCAGCACGGGCCATGTCCGCGGCTTGAACTCAGAGGCCCGCATCTTCCTCCGGCACCTGCATGCACACTTAAACATATATTTCTCTCTGCCTCTCTGTCTCTGTCTCTCTCTGTCTCTGTCTCTGTCTCCTCTGTTACACACACACACACACACACACACACACACACACACACACACACACA